GGTTGACTCTTAACTTTTATAAAGAATATCTCTTTGGATTTGAGACTTTAGTCTTTGCAACTTTACAGATCTTCTTTATGCACCAAGAGTTGTAACACTCCAAAGAGAAAGGAAAAATTGAAATCGCATCATATGACCCCTTTAACTAACTGTTTTTAAAAATGAGAAGTGATTTCTAGACTATCAAATATTTTTAACAGAGCACAACCAGATAAAAAATGTATATTCACCTGAAACTTTAAATAATTTATTAATTCCAATAACTTTCGAAAATCACTAAATTCCCTGATATTTCCAGATTTTCCATGACACAAGTAATAAATGGTATATGAAATAAATAAATAAATAAAGCTGGGACTAAATTGAGTTTAACCCTTAAAAAAAAAAAAAAAACCCTGGATAGTGCTATATGAATAGAAGTTGTATATACTGTATGATTGAAAAATAAATGGAGCAGAACAGAACACTTTGTTCATTTCAGGGAAAGTCTAGAGAGCAGCACAGCAATAGTGCCTTTGGCAAGAAAAGGAAAGAGAGAGAGAGAGAGAGAGAATGCTCACCGTGTCGACTGATGAAGCGAATACAACTCTCCACCATCAGGGGAATGATTTGGCTGGACTCCTAAAAGAAGGAAATAAAAAAATGGAAAACAAAATATGAAGGAGAAAATATGCAGGTTTGTTCAGATGGTTCAGGGGGGTTTCTCTGGACATTTTGCAGCACAGGAAACCTTTCTGAACAAGGGTCTCTGTTTCTCGGCAGAGCACTTAAATAATAATAATATTTGCAAAGGGAGGCAAGCATCAGACAGAATTTAGGAGGGATGAAAAAGCAGCACAGTTTGAGCCATGGGGGAATAGGGCAACGGTTGCTAGGAGACAGCTTCTCTCCACAGCTTCCTTTTGTTTATTTGGGTAAGCAGGAAACGGCTAAGCGAAGCAGAATTTGGGCCACGTCTAGCCTGAAGTTTACTGCTCAGAGTCCAGCTCACAAACTCTTATACATACTTACAGGAGTATAAAGCATAATTTGGATTTTTTTGGATTTCTTTCCCCCCAACAAATCTTTTGTTTCTCATATCGTTTGTCTTCTAGTCACAGAATACTGCTCTTATATCATTATCCCTCACTAGAGGGCGACATGAACATTGGGGTGGTTAAATGAGGTGCTGCGGTGGGTCCTTTTCTTTGTTCGCCCATACTGTAGGGTGGTAAACCCCTAGGGTTTAGGTTGTAGGACATGCACACTAAATTTATCTCACAGGCCCATTTGACTAATTTATCCCACTGCCATGTGCACAATGATTGCAGGGTGGCACTGCTTTATTACTGTTATATTACTTATCCTAAAGAGATATACACTGAGCACAAGTACCCAAAATGTTCACAGACAGTAATCATACAAATGCACATCACACATGTAAGCAGGGTTGGGAGTGTTCGACTGTGATTCACATAGTCTCCATTCAATTCCAAAATGATTTTTAAAGCATTTTTCTGCAATTTTTCAACCTCACTGACAAATTCTGGCCAAAGATTCTGCATAAAAGCATTAATAAGATATGTCTTCTCTGTTCCGCCAATAGAAATAGAATAAACTTGGATTATGTATATATGTATATACTGTTTATCAGGAGAGTGACCTCATTGAACTCTGATGTCCTTGATTGTTGTTTAATTATAAATAGATTCATAATATAATAAACAACAATATTAAAATAAATAAATAGTATGAATACTATTTATTAAATTAATAAAGAGTATTCATACTATTTATTTATTTTAATATAATTTTTATTTCATGTATTACATTTATTTATTTATTTATTTATTTTAGACTAATTATTTTAGTATTTATTTAATTTAATTATATTATTAATTAAATTAATTTATTGATTTAATTAGATTATGAATTATTTATTTTAACTATTTTTTATGGGTTGGTTGGGGAGAGACTGAAAATCTAAAAAGCATTGTCTCTGTACAAATAATCGCTTTCATTCCAGCTAAATAAAAATAATTACATAAAAAGAAAAAGAATAAATGAATAATAATAACCTAGTATCAGTGTCTTTTGCTCTGAGTAAATAAAAAGCCACATCAGAATGAGCATAAACAAACAAAAAAATTAAAACAAATGCATGAAATAAATAAATAATAAATTACATCAATATAAATAAATACTTAAAGAAATACACAAACAAACATACAACCCATTCATAAACACATAGTGCACATCTTGTTTGCTGTAGCAGTTTCAATTGTATGACAAACTATGTCCTGAGTGAACACATTTCCTTTAAATATAAAGTGAACAGCTAACACCTTTTTGCACTTGACGTTTAAAATTATGTAAAGTTTTGTTTGTTTGCACAGTGGCAGCACATTATTTTATGACATATATGCCAATCCACTGTTTTCCCAGCACTGCACACCACTGTAATGTTTTGTCCTGCATACGGATTTCAACAGTAACTGATTATGATCTTTAGCGGATTGATCCAGAATCAATTCTGAGTCAGTTCTACCAGTGACTGGTGATAATTACCTGTTTCCAAACAGTGGAGTTCCTCCGTCCGCTGATGGACACAAGCAAGAGAGCGATGGAAAGAAAAAGAGAAAGCTCTGTCATTACGATCGATAATTTCCCCTCTAATTTCCCTCCACATTCAATTTACAAACTGCCTGTGGCCATTAGACCAGTAGAAATTACCCTCCCGAGAAGGGTCCTATTTTAATACACTGGCCTTAAACACACACACAGAAAGGCTTTCAGTAGTGTTTGTTGTGAAAGCACTTGTTTGGTCTCTTCTGTGAACTCTTGTTTAAAGGTCCGTTCCCATTTCTGTACTCCATTATAACTGTAGAGTAAATCACCTACTACTGGCCTCAATAAATAAATCAGCAGATGTGAATAAAAGATGAATGTGTCTAGACAAGATATTCATCTATAAATGGCCCTGAGACATCTGCATGTGTGCTAAATTAATTCTTGAGCGTAAATGTTTGCATCTTGTTTGGTTTTGTTGGCTTGGTTTTCCCACAGCACTCACCTGGCAAGGCAGTAGTCGGTCTTCTGACCTGAATGGAGAGGAAAAAGAGAGAGAAAAACAGTTAGACGGAGGCTGGATGTGTGAGGAAGAGGCCACAGCTGGACACAGTTTCCTTTTGGGAATAAAACACTCGTCCCGCTTCTTGTCTGTCACGAGGACCTTCCTATGGGACGCGACCTCATATCCACACATTACCCTCTAAATACATTCAGCGGCATCACAATGTGCTATTTTCCCCATCACACGCAGTTCGACACAGCAAATGCCAAACGTGCAACAGACTTCAATGAGCTAATCATGCAAACCACTTTGTTTCCTTCAATCTGTGCAGGAATATTCTGTCAGTTTACTCAGTAAAAGCAGCTGGGGTTGCACACACTGTACTCAGCACCATTTCACAATGAAGGCTGGATTTACCGAGGCATTTTAACATTAAAATCTGTTTTTTGTCATTGGACAAAATAAGAAAGACAGCTTGCGAATAACTGAGGTGTATCCATTTCGCTAAACAAATTACGTCAATTTGAAATCAATCCAAATCCCAGTAGAAAAATGATGGAGGTGCTCTGAAGAAAATGTGAGTGGTGTTTGTCCATGCAGAACACGCTGCCATGATGTTGGAGTCCATTATCAGTATTGATTAATATTGGATATTTAATTCTACATGCCTTTTGTATAATTTTTAGATTAAGATTACATTTGCCGTCATCTAATGCTCATTTAAATGTATCACAAAAATTACTAATAACGTTATCTTTGACAAAACCTCAAAATAATTATACATTTTTCATACTGTACATTATTAAGTTGAGCACCAAATCAGCATATTAGAATGACATCAGAATGACATCAGTTTCATTTCCTGTTCATTGGCAGTCCGAACTGACTGGCTGACAGTACCGTTCAGTCTGGAGGAATGAACGTGGGAGGTACATCAGAGTGAAAAACACTCCAGGAAATCCCCGCTGTGCTCTGTTCTTTCTTACACAGACTCATTTTCTCTGTTTTGTAGCATGGCACATGACCTTTCACCTCCACCATCCAGGACTGCCTATGAGTGAGTGGATAAGATCATGCTAAGGTCCAGAGGACAGCAGTACAGAACGGCACTGCACTGTTAAAGCTTCATGCTCTGATGAGACTGATAACATCAGTAGCATCCTCAAGCTTACACACACACGGTCAACCCAGTACCCTCTCTGCCTGACACTGCAACATCCCACACATGCATATTAACCCTAACCCTACACATAAAAGAAAAAATATTTTATAGATAAATAATGAAATAATAATTGTATTATTTGATGTATCATTTAACACACAGACTAATGATAAACCAAAGGCTAATTATACAACATTGTTCTGTCTTTATGAGGGAGTCATATAAATCATTTACTCAAATGATTTGTTCAAAAACACTGATTCATTTGGGAACAAAACACATGAATGTCTTAATGAGGGAGTCATATAAATCATTCACTCAACTGATTTGTTCAAAAAACTGATTCATTCCAAGATGAAACAAGTAACTAGGTATGTTTACATGCACTATTTTTCATTAATCCGAAAAAAAAAATGCAATCTAATTTCAGATTTTGAAAGTTTATATGAAACTTAAATTTTGCAATCCGATTCACATATTCGATTGCATGTACATTGCACAAAATATAAGTTTTTAAATAAAACTAAGAAAATAGCTAGTTGGATTCAGGCGTTACATGCGTATTTTTATGGAAGCTTGTTTCTAGCACTGAATAAAAAAAAGGTAATTGCGAGTTTTTATCTCACAATTCTGAATTTTTTTCGTCGCAATTGCGAGTTTACATCTCGCCATTCTGACTTTTTTTTCTCAGAATTGTGAGTTTGTATCACGGCCAGAATTGTGAGATAAAAAGTCGCAATTAAATTTTTTTTATCATTATTCAGTGGCGGAAACGGGCTTCCATATATTTCTTGTTTCCTATAGATCAGATTATTTTGTCTACACCATCCCTTCCAAACCAATAAAATGAATTGCATTAAGATCAAGCTCAGTTGGATTCATTTAGGTGTTGACAAAGTCTTTTCAGTCCGATTGAGTCGTGAATCCAATTACTGGACAATTTGGTTTCATGTACAGTAAACATATTGTCTTTATGAATGACTCACAATTAATCATTTTCTCTACCAATTCATTCAAAACACTGATTCAGGGAACTGTGTGTTGCTCTGAGAAGTACAAAGGTTGATTCTGCTTTGACTTCGTTTTGAAGTATTTTCACTTGTTATGCACAAAATAACTGATACTATTGTGTCCAAAATATAATTTACTCCAAATTCATGTGTTGCTTATTGAACAAAAGCAATATTACATCCACAATATCGTATAGATGGCATTAGCTTTACCATTTAAAATGTGCCCAAACTACAGCTCATAAACCCACATGCACAAGTCACTCGAGAAAGATTACTCACTTTCTCCCAGAGTCTTTTGGATCAGGTCATGTTTAGCCTGTAATTTGGTGATGAGGTTCCTGCCCTCCAGAAACTCCTTCAGTTTCTGAAATAGACAATATAAAAAGTTTCAACTCCAGCACAACTGTTAGACCATCTCAACACTTATGAACAAACACTGCTGAGAAATTTCATTTGAATAGCTATTAAGTGAGCAGTATAATCAATCTTCCTTTCTTTTCTTGGCTTTCTGGCAAAGGATCCTTCCTCCACCCCTTTCAATTTGCTGTGTAGTGTTGAGACTATACATCTTGTTGGCGCAAACATTAATTTCATATCCACTGGAGCACAGGGAGGCACTGGATCTATGTGCTCTAATAGCTTATGGCTCTTTGGGGGTGAGAACCCTGACCTCATGGAAACCTGACAGCGGAGAGACAGATAGAGGAGTCAGGAGACGGATGGAAAGAAACCTGAACTGCGGAGGGAATGAGGGAGCTGGGTAGACAGATGCTTACAATTTCATCCATCATATATCACAGCCATACCAGCATTACAGTCATGCAGACTCAGGAAGGACAGCCAACACATGGAGCCATGCATTAGTGCTTTTGGCAGAAAGAGACGAGCTGAATGTACATAGGGAGTTTAAGAGAAAGAGGAGAGAGGGAGATATAGGGGAGGAATACATCAGGATATGATCTAATGAAGAGGATGTGATAAGACAGCCTGCATAACATCAAGTGACAAACCTCTGCTTGCTAATCTTGTGCTTCCATTGATCATATGTGTAATGTTAGGCCAGAGTGAATGGAAATTCATGTTCTTATTGTTCTATTCTGTTCTACATTTTGTACTCAATTTGCTTGTTTTTTAAAAGCAGGTATGTATCAGAAAACCAATTTCTATATAGACATACAGTATACTTTAAAGTATTGGCTGCAAAAAGCTATCGGACATTTCAACCATTATTGGTCAGAAAAAATATAGAGTTCACTGAACACACATTGACTATAGCTGTCACACTATATGGGGCTAAAATGAAAAAAAAAAAACTGTCATTAAATTGGCTTTTCAAAACAACAACAACAAAAAAACGAAACAGTAAAACGATTATGAAACAAAATAATTCATAAAAGTGAAAATGTAAAAAACAACAAAAAATCTCCATATAAACACATAAATTATAATATATAAATGCATAATATGTATATATGTATATATAAATACATTTTAAACTACTAAACATAAAAATACATTTTATATATAAAAAAATACTGAATAAATTTTCTTTAACTGCCACATATCAAACACATGTAATTAGGAATGCACCGATAACACTTTTTCCAGTACTCGCCCAATACTGATACTTTTATTTTTGGTACTTGCTGATACCGAGTACCGATACCGATATTTTTATTGCATTTGTACATTTTTCAAATATTGGGTACAGAAACCAAAAGAGTATGTATAATATTAGTTGGTTATAGCAGTCCTTCATTTATCAAATAGATACAGTCAAACCAAAATTTATTCAGACACCTTCAACATTTCTCACATTATCACAGTTTATTCGCTAGTTTAGAAAATGGTAATAAAATATGACAAGAACTCCGAGTTAAACTGTGTCAGAACAAATTCAGCTTGATAATGTCAGATAACTTTGATAGAAAGGTATGTAATAGATTACAATCAACCTAATGACAGCCTGTAGTCTCCTGGGCATGCTGTCATCCAGGTTCATGTAAACCTGAACTTCAATTTTTTTTCCCAGACTCGTTCGGAATAATTTTTGGTCCCAAATTTGTATCAGTTTTACTGGTAGTCCACTGTATGAAGAATTTTGGGGTATAATTTGTCACAGTTTACTTTATTTAGCTATCCTCATTCCTCACTTACATAAATGAACTATAGTGTCCTGCACCCACTAGTAAAAAAATATCAAAAATTATATCTGGTCTCTGAATAATTTTTGGTTTGACTATATCCTTCGGTTATTTTCACACTTAATTATGCCCATTAAAATGTATTATACAAGTTTTTGTTACTTTCACTGTTCATTGCTTGCTCTATGGTACATCATCTTTAATTTAATAGCATCAGAGCTGCTCCATTGCAGCGGGTTAGTACTGTAATCACGCGCTTTGCTGTAATAATGCAGGGAACCACTCGTTATAAATCTCCTAACTGTGATATTTTCAGAAATAGAAGTCGCGTTTTTTCATCTGAAACGTGCTGCGATTTATATTCCAAAGCCACTCATATAATGCAGAAACACCCATGAAGCAAGCAAAACATGCGCAAAGCTTATAGTGAATGCCCCTATAAATTGTCTTATTTTTACGATTTAGTTTTAATCCAAATGATGCGTGTGCTAAGTGAGTGAACATCAAAGATCACACAACAGAAGTGCTCACTCTCTCTCTCTCTCTCTACCGTTAAGTAACCTGTGCATTGTTTTACTTGTTTTTGACATATCCGACCGAACTACAAACTTTCCAGTGATGTCTGTGAGAAAGGTATATTCACTCGACAAGCTTGCACATCTGCGCCACCGCACGCTCAATCCACTCAGCATGCTTTGCTTATCAGCTTGCGCACATCAGCTACACAGGCATTAATACGGAATGTTTAACATTATATTCATTGCATACATATACTTCGTAGACATCATTAATCTCTTATAACTCCATTCTGCTGTCCGTTGTTCTGTTGTCGGTGTTTCTTTGTCTGAATATGGCACTTATCACATGCTGTGTGGTATCGGCGTTTGGTATCGGGGCATTTTAACGAGTACGAGTACAGGAGCTCAGTATCGGGCCCGATACCGATACCAGTATCGGTATCGGTGCATCCCTACCGGAAACATTATAACAAGACAGAAAACACAATGACAAATCAGAAAAACCGGAAGAGGTAGGTCT